ATTTTGTTCTCAGAGAGAATATTTACCCTTCATTTTGTGAGGATTGGTGTGATGCTTGTCACCCCTGGGTTTTTCCAGCTCCTACACACCTGTCTCTTACCCTAATCACCCCAGGTGTCCTTCATTGTCAGTTACAGGTGTTCCTATATAATGTGTGCTGCGCGTGAAGGGATAAACCCGCTAGCGATAGCCTTAAAGGGCGAAGCCTATACGAAATAGAACTTCTCATTTTTGAAGTGGAAATTTGTAATGTTTGACCTCAGTCACAAAGCAGAGTATGAAGAAAAGGGTGGAAGTCTTCCTCCATGCTGGGCTAACGGCTAACAATGAATGGTTTTATATTGAGCTAATAGTAAATTCTCAAAAAATGTCAAGGTCAAGGTTTCTTTATTGTCATTCACATCTCATGTGGTACATGTGGTGGAAAAAAGTTGTGTACACATGGTCCCAGTTACATCCATAAAAGTATTAAAATGTAAAAGAAAAACAGTAATAAGATCGAAGATATGAACTAAGAAACGACGTGCTGACGTTAAACAACACTACCTTAACAAGTTTTAAACTTGTACATTTTTTTTATTAAAGCATTTGTTGAATTTGTTGCTGTTTTCACAGTCAAACGTATGTGACACTACAAATTAGACTGTATGTGCTGAACATAGAGCGGGAGTTCATGCTGATGTAGCTGAGGCTGCTGAGTGTATCAATCCCCCTGATCAGAACAGTTAAAGATTTACTCGTCTCCAGCTCAGACAGACGCATGCAGCAGCATCAGGTCACAGACATGTACATGGTTTCAGACTGAATACTTAACACTGCAACAAACTAAATGAACAGTGTTGTTGGTTTGGGCGGCTGAGGCTGAGTGGTTAGAGCAGTCGTCCTCCAATGCTAAGAGTTGGGGGTTTGAATCCACCAACAGTCACATGCCCAAGTGTCCCTGGGCAAGACACTGAACCTCATATTGTCCCGTCAGTGCATGAATGTGATAAAGCTCTGATTAGTCTCTTTAGAATGATTTGTTCATTTAGTTTTGTAGAGATCTAGTAGAGTGCTGTATGAATGAGGCACAGATTGTGTTGTAAAGTGCTTTGAGTGTCTTGATAAGATAGAAAGGTGCTATATAAGTACAATCCATTTTATTGAAAATGGAGAGGTTTAATATTAGCTAAAGGAGCTTTTCTATGAATGCTGTTGAGAAACAGTTGTTTAACAAGCCTGAAAAATTAATAAAAAACTTGCCCACATCTGTCTAATCATTAGTATCTTGGATGAAGAGTTGTGCTTGTCCTGAGCCTGGTTCTGCTAAAGGTTTCTTCCTCATGAGGGAGTTTTTTCTTCCCACTGTCGCCGTCATGCTTGCTCAAGATGAGAGTCTGTGATGGAGTTAAATTCAAAGCAGTCTGCTCCTCAGATAAATAGTGTTAACTTATTATTTTTATATATGAATGTTTCTGTTCAGTGTCCTGAGACGATTTCTGTTGTGACTTGGCCCTAAATAAATAAATGAATTGAATTGTCATTTTTTATACTATGTGCTCTATGACTGAAGTCACGGCTGCTGAAAACAATTTGACAGAACATCCCTTCAAAAATGACCAGACTATCCCTTTAACTGGTACTTTGCCTCTCATCTGTTGCCTGTTGGGGTGGAGAGCAGCCCCCACCAACTCAGGTATGAACGAACGAGCCCCCTTCTTTATTTCAACACTAAAGTAAAAAAAGCATCGCCTCAAAACTCAGTCCTGCAGGAAGCAGAGGTCGTGACCCCACCCCACAGTAGCAGGTCAAAGGGTCAGCTAAAACACAACTAACACAGACTCCAGTGTCCCATTTCTGTTTGTTCCTTTGACAGAAAGAAATCGCCACACATGTACTCATTTTTGCTGTGAAAGAAAAGCTTGCCTCACTTCAGCAGGAACTGCTCTGACATTTGTCAGTAAAATGTTGGCACCAGCATGCAAGACCTCCTCCCAGACACTCCCACTATAGTCTGAGGTCTGCATGTCACCAACCAAGGCAGTCCCAAACCAAAGTTTGAGTTTTACGCCTTTTAGTCCGCGGTTTTAAACAACAACAAAAAAAAGTTTTAAAAAAATGTGGGAAAAATTAAACTTACTGCGCGCACTCCCGAGGCGAGGATGATGATGGAGAGGCACAGAAGCAGCAGCCTGTTGATGAAGATGAAATGATCATAAACAAATCAATAATATGGCACTAAATGAGTATTTGTTTTTTAACCCATGATGTTACCTCAGGTCTTTCTGTCTCTTGTGTTGCGCCTGCATGGTCCAAACAAGCGCACGGTCCACAACTCACGCCACTTCTTTTACAGCATGACTGAGGCAGACCGAGCAGTGCTGGTACAGAAAGCATACAAATGCGTGCATTGTTTATTTATTTTTTTTTTTTTTGCCAATATTACGTTAACTTTTCATCGGTTTGGTAAAAAAGACGCACAACTTACAATATCCACGCGCGCGGCGGAGGAGTAGAGACGCTCTGAAAAACAAAGTTTAACAGTCACCTGCTGCACCAAACAACCTAAATCACATCCAAAAGCACAAAAGTGTCCCGAGCTCTCCTCTTCCTTACAGAGAAAAGTCTAAATGTTTGAACAACACGCTGGGAGTGAGTTTGGCTCAATGAGGGTGGTCTTTTGGGGAGGTGGGGGTGTGGTGCAGCAGGAACAAGACCAACTTGCATTGATCAGATCTTCACATAGTCTCGGACAATGATGCAGCCCAAAGTGCTGCCCGTGCTCCTCCGATAAAAATAAAACTGTGTTGAGTTGAGCGGAGGGCAGAGGACGAGGAGCGGTGGTTCGAGTTCCCAGAGTTCCCACAGCGCGCCGTCACCATGCTGTTACCGTCCGGCGCGCTCCTGCTGCTGGCGGCTTTCTGCTCCAACTTAGACCTGACACGGGCTGAGGTAAGAGAAATGCTCTACAATCATTTAAACTGTAGTCAGCCCAACATGTGCGCTGAATAACATCCACCAGCCTCTAATTCTGAACTTTTGATGCAGAGGAAACTGTCAGTCTGCCTCGTGATTCATGCGCTCTGCAGCTTCATGCGCCAATTATATCACTGAAACAATGATATTTACTTTGTTTTTTTACGTGTCGTGGTTTTGTTTAACGTGCCTTAGTGACAGTATTTAAGACATGCTGCTCTGAAACTTTCTGCCTCCTTCACTTCTGGAGAGGAGCTGCATGAGAAAAGGAGGAGGAAGAGGGTGGGGCGCGTGCGCCTTTACAGTAGCTGGAGTTTCTGTGTGTGCGCTGCTACACGCAAAGGTCTGGCAAAGTAATGAGATGCGCACTGTATGTATGTAGTTGTTGATATGAAGCAATGAATACAGTTTGTCTGTCTTAGTATTAATAATAAGTCTCATGAGTGAACTAAAAGAAATTAGGCAGATTAAGATTAAGGCCTGCTTTGAGATGGCTATTGTGGCCAGAGGATAAAAAGTTTAGTTGCATTTTGATTTCAAACTCACATGTGCCAGCATAAACCCTTAAAGCAGCAGTTCACATCAGTTTTGGGGCTGCTATGAAAAATTAATACCCTGTCGGCTGTAGATCTTTGAAGAGCCTCAATTTGAAGAATAAAGTTAGAGTCTGATAAGATTTATTTCATAACAGTTAGTTCAAGCAAATCCACAAACAAAACCAATTGTTGCTGTTATAAACTAAGCGTGTTTTTTAGTGGTTCATGCAAAATGCCGTTTTATAAATCTTTACTTTGGAACGACACAGTTATTAATTGAGAACAGTAACTCCTACATTGCATTGCAGTGGATACAACATTACATGTGCTATATTAGTGGCAGCTGCTGGGTGCTTTTGGGTGAAAAATGATAATGTTTCTTCCAGGATAATTGTGTAATTGTTTCTGCATAAGCTCCTTTGATATTTTAGAAACTGGAATTGGTCTTTTTTTATCACTTATTAGTCAAATTGAGGCCAATCAAACACCTATATAACAGATACGATATTAACTGCTCATAACCTTTCAAACCCCCATTCAAACGATCTGAGTTTTCACTTTATGTTCGTGGAAAATCTGATTAACGATACTCTTAAGGAATAATTTATTAAAAGAAAACAATAATCCAAAGTCAGACTTCAGTTCAGATGATGAGCTTCAGAAATGTAAACTGAAAAGATATAAATCAGAATCAAACATAACTGGACCAAAAGTTTCTGTCTCCTATTTTGTTCAAAGTAAGCCATGATACCAATTTTTTTGGCGCTGCCATGATATATTTCTGAAGCCAGGTGCGCACACTGGATATGGAGCTTAAAGTCATGCCTTCAAACCTGCACACAATCATGGTGTTTTTTTTAAAAGCATCAAATAACTACCGGTAAATACACACATGAATTAATAATAGTTAGCTTCTGGAAAAAGATCTGAGGTACATTTTGTAGTAACAAGTAACACCTGTTATAGGTTTAAACGTATCTCCAACCAGTCTACAGGGGACACTCATTTAGTGTCTGCTTCAACTTCTGGGCTCCATTCTTGTTACAACAGTCTGTATGTCTATGTGCTGAATAGAGGTAGATATTTGGGGTCTTTTCAGATATCTGGTCTCTCAGCTCACCAAAAAAACTCCTCACTTTTGTTGAGCTGATTCAACTGATGCAGATTTCAAAAGACAGACATAATTCCCACCCTGAGTCCAGAGCCAGGACACAATCCACCAACTTAACTGCAAAGATTTGACAAGGAACTGCTGAAGATGGGTTGATTACAGACACAAAACAGGTGAGATAATTACCAAACAAAGTTCAGGTGTGCAGAAGAAGCTGTTGGTTAGACTGAATGGAGTCCAGAGACAAGACCGGATCATCTAAAAGAAAACCGCATGAACACTTCCTTTAAGGAACTTACCCATAACAGGTTTTGTAATTAAATTAAATTAAATAAAGTGTGCAGTGAAACTTTCATCTCACTTAGAGAAAGCTATCATCAATGTTGAACTTTAAAGATGTGGAGGAACCAGATGTTCATCAGTTTATTGCAGGAGCACTGATGTTTCAGAGCCTCGTCAGGATGTACCTTTATTATACAAGTGACAATAAAACGTAACTTTATACGAGTCACTTTTATACATGGCTAAATGTCAGCTAACAAACCACACACCGTCCTCACGTTAAAACGCTGACCATCATTCACGTTCAGGATACAAACCAAAGCATTGCGGCTGTGACTATTATCCACAAATGTTATATTACCAAAACAATCTGCAATTTTTAAACAAACCTTCCCTTCAGGGAGACGTGAAGTGATAATAAAAGGAAGCACAAACATGAAGTGGACACTGAACATCTGGACAGAGGTTAGGACAGAACATCTTGTCACTGATCAGATGACACCATCGTAATTTGAGTATTTGAACGGTCTGGATTTATTGGACGTTGAATGTGTTCTCATCCACCCATGGGAGGTCCTCAGCAAGGAGGCTTGTGATCTGCTGCTCTTTTATCCAGGAGCCCATGTTATAAACTTAAACGTGGTCCCAAGCTTGTTCATTTTAACAGAACATGAGATATTGATGAAGCCTTCCGGATCGAAGGCGAAACGTTTCAGCACAAAAAAAGAAACTGTCCAGGTGACCTGACTGAAAAATGTTGGATTGGATTCCTGGATTATTGAGCATGGACTTTGTTGTTAACATGAGATATTGTTGACCTTATGAAGTCAAGGGGCTTCACTTTGGTTTTTCTTGTATCTCTGCACGCTCAGAGACGTGACTTGGAGTGAGACTGAACCTCCTGTTTGGACTCCGTCACAATCAGCAAAAGCTCCTGGCTAAACTATTCAGGGTCGAGCACAGACGTACATGAGCATGCACTAATGCGATAACCCTGAACCCAGAGCGGGGTCAGGCTGACTTCACAAAGGCTGCTATGAAATGATAGCACAGAAAATGTTCTTGCTTTTTGCCCCTTTTTCTTAAACACCCGCCACAAAAACCACTGAAACGAGTTTAACTTGACGTTGACCTTTGCCTACATTTCTTGCAATGGCACCGTCTAACTCTGAGAACATTCTTCAACTGTTTTTCCTACACAGAACTGAGTTTCTCTCCCTTGGTGGTCATTAAGTGTGGTCAGAGTGTGGGTAATTCCTGGAGGAGATTCTGGAGGAGGAAGACCCACAGATTCTTGGAGTGAGATCTTGTGAGTGGGATGTTGAGTAGCTGGATTGTGGAAAGATGGTGAGCTATAATGTCCTGAGACTTCACAGGTGGGATCCATAATGAACAAAGGATATAGCATATGCTTGATCTACGACCTGCTGAAAGATAAACTTTGGGATCTGACATGATTTGTTGGTCTAAGTGCCGACAGGACAACTTGAAGCTTTGGCTGGTCCTGCAGATACACCCCCTCTACACACACATGCACAGACAACAGCTGAATATGTCACTGCGACTGACCACCAACCAAGTAGTGCATCCTGGGAAGGTCCGACCTGCCTGCTGCAAAAATGCCTACATTTGGAAATGTTTCTTGTCCTCCTATTTTAACAGGCAGCTAGCAAGGATAATTCTCCACTGACCTTGTTACTCAAATACCGTGGCAGGTATGCCCCACTTTTAACTTGTGTGACTGTGTGTGAGTTCCTTGCCTCTGACATCTCTGACATGGAAAGGACTAAAGGAGTTGGCTAAACATTGTGCAGACCTTTTTTTTTTAATCCCCCAAGGTCTGACTCAGGCATCACGGAGGAGACAGTTTTCTCAGATGTGTCACAGTTACGTCCTTTTCACACATAAAGCACTTGTTCCGTCTCACGCTATTTGTACGGTAGTTAGCCAAGAGATTGGTTACTTCCCCCAAAGTGCATTGCTGTGGTCAAAGTGCACTTTAGCTGTTTCACGGTAAAATTGCTTAGTCTTAAATGTCACTTGTGGTCTGGATGGAGGTGCTGTAATGGATATGTCCGTCTGACAAGGAGGTGGGAAAAGGAGAGGGATGGAAGGGAAGACTTGCGAGGAGGTGATGAGGGTGTGTGCCCCAGAAGTGGAAAAGAAATGTGTGTTGATACGCCGTGACAAATCGTTTAGTTTCACTGCCTGGTCTTTTACCTGGACTTCCATCGCCTGCTGCCAAATTGTCTCATGGATGGAGTGAAAGACAGTGATGACTGTGTATTTAAATTAATGCCTTTATGTGTTTTTTGTTTTGCTGGATACGTTTTTGGTTAGTTTTCCTGCAGCTATTCTTTTTTGGATTGCGTTCGACTGCAAGAACAGATGGACGACTGAAGGATGGTGTTTACTCAAAGCTTCCATAGAGCCCAGAGGCTTAATTGTGTTAGTATAACTTTTCCAGACAACATTTAGAAAAGAAGTTACTCTTGTTGTCGGCATGTGTCGCTTTTGTGCAGAGCATCAGGAAGGAACCAGTCTTTCAGCTCAGTGGTGTTTTTGACCTGAAACTATGATGCACATCAATATCAAAGATATTACAACAATAAAGCAAATCACATCTCATGTTAGTAAGTTTTTAAAGGTAGATGGACTTTTGATTAAATTCAGAGGCCGTTCTTGATTGCAAACAGGTTTTTGGTTGAAATGTTCCCCTTGTGTTGCCATTTAGTGCTCTGCTAACATTAGTCCAACGGGACATTAACTCTACATTGTTTCCAAATGTTGGCTGCCTTTAAAGATGGAGAGATACTCATATATATTCTTGCAATGAACAGTTTCTTTCAATTGAACTACGTGTTTTTCTCTCCCATCTCAACAATAGTTGGCGCTTTTTCTGTTGTGACTGACAAAAAATAAGAAACAACCACAAACACTCACACTTCAGACATATTTTGTTGCAGTTTTGAGCTGCATTTATTACATAGACTGGTTTTTTTAAACACCCTTAAAGATGTCTGTCCTTCAGAGAATGTCAAGACAGA